CACAGGCCTATGAGAGTTCCACCGCACCGAGCTGGGATTCATGGTATGAGGACAGTTATTATACTGACTCCAGTTGGAATTATGCCGCTTATGACGATCAAACGTCTTATACATACTATGCATCACAAGCCTCACGAAGAAAAACACGGAGAAAGAAGAGAAGAAATCAAGCAGGATCATCAGGTAGAGGCACAGATCCGAGCGCGCACCAAGAACCCGTGTTCAACTCATCAGTGAGTTACGTGCCCCAGGTCTTTGAACCATCCGAGGGGCAAGGTGTTGAAACTGCAACAGCGGTGTTTCCGTTGCAGCACACCGTCCTATCTGCTCTCACAGAGCGGATCAATCTTGATAAGAACCCTACCTTTGTCATACTTGACTCAGGTTGTACTAGGGCTATGGGTTCCCGCTATGCGGTGAACAGGCTTATCAAGGCCGTGAAGCAACGTGCCCCAGGCATGATTGATTTCACTTTCTCACCTTCGAACACGAAGTTCTCTTTCGCAGATAGTGAAACAGCTCTTATCAAGGAGCGTGTAACTCTATGGTTCAACACAACTCCAAGAAGAGATACAACCATCGAGGTTCTGGATCAGGGGAGAGTTCCCATTTTGTTCTCCATCGAACAGATGAGGAATCTAAGAATGACCCTCGAGTGTAGTCCCACAGCTGACCTAGCAACGTGTGAAGCTTTCGGTTTGTACAAAACCCCCCTTCCGATTAGTACCAATAACCATTTGGTATTGGACCTTCTAGGCTTCACTTCCACCAGGAAGTATCTCCCTAAGTCAGGTACGTCGTTCAGTGCGACGGAGACTGCTCTAGGAGCTAAGAAGCCAAAGGAAGAAAGAAGATCTTATACTAAGATCCCGGAAGGTCGCTGTCCAGCCTGCGCAGGACAGAAAAAGCCTCATACGTTCCTCAAAGGTTGCGACAAAGCACCTGAAGGAGCAGCTGATCCACCACCGAAGGGCATTCCAGGTAAGAAGAAGCCTCTTCCATCTGATCCGGCAGAATCATCTGCCAAGAAACCTGATCCACCAGAACCATCTGGTGATGCTCCTGAGCCTTCCGAACCATCGGAACCATCATCAGGCTCTAGAGACAAACCTGCAGAATCATCTGCACCGCACGAACCTCCAGAAGAAGAAAGACTTGAGGTTCCACCTGCGAAGACAAAGACTCCAAAGGGTCTTAAAAACCTTCTGAAGAAAACCCGCAAATATGCGGTCAAACCTCCTGTTGAGGAGAAGTCTATGGTCCCAGGAGCTGATGACGGGACGGAGGTAAAGCCGCTTGAGTCAAGAGAATACCCGGCTCCTGGTACAGACTCACCTACAGGTGAAGAGATTGTCGCAGAACCATCGCCATCTCTTCCCATTGCTCTTCGCAGGATTCATGAGAAGCTTAAGGACCCTGTAGAACTCTATAAGCTTCACCTTAAGCACCGTCATATGAGTACGGATCAGTTCAAGCGACGCACGAAAGCCTTACAGATCCCAAAGGAGATATATGAGCTATATGACCAACTGGTCAAAAAGTGTTCAGCCTGTCAGGAACACGTGAGAGCTCCTTCAAGAGCGAAGATTTCCGGTTTAAGATCAGAGACTTTCGGTGATCTCACCTTCGTAGATCACGGTGAGCTTCCAATTCCCGGCAAAATAGTCGCTTAATATTTCTTATTCTCTATGACGGAGCAACAAACCTGTTGACTTCCGAAGTAGTCCAGGATAAAGAAGAGCATACTACAATGTCGATTATGAATGACTACTTTGAGAAATTTCAGATCAACCCAAAGGTTGTAGTTGGAGATCAAGCATTCATGACTCCAAAAATGGAGGCTTATTACAATCGGCAGAATATCAAGCCTGTAGCAACAGGACCTGGAACACCATGGCCCAACAGGGCCGAAGCTGCTGTAAGATTGCTGAAGCATCAGATTAAGATCATACTTCAGATCCTGAAGGATGGTGACCCGCAGTATAACGGAATCACCATGAAGTATGGCAACCTCGTTCGACAAGCATGTTTGGCAAGAAACTCTTCGATTACCTATGGAGGAGTTACTCCTTTAGAAATGGCCTTTGGTAGGCGTCCTCGAGATGTTATAACACCAGAGAACGCTGATCCCAATCAGTTGACAGGTAATCCAACTGATACGGAAGTCACTGCGAGAGCCATTAAGGAGCTTGCCAACAGGGCTTACCAAGAGGCACGCCAATCTGATGATCTGCGCAGAGATCTTGCGGCCAGACTGTCAATGACCGAAGGACCTTTCTCTTTGGGAGATAAGGTTTTCTACTGGTCAGAGGATAAGTCTAAGATTGGATCAACTGGGTCCAAACATGGATCTTGGCTAAAAGGAAAGGTGATCTCCGAACTCGGAGGATCCATGGTAGGTGTGGATCTTGGAACACGCATCGTCCGCGTTAATATCTCAAAACTGAGGAAAAATTATGACATAACATCTGATGTGGAGATTCCTCTCGCGCCTGATGAGGAAACTCTGACGTCAGAAGGTTCTGACCACGCAAGTTGCATGGTCACCTTTGATGCTTCCCTGCAGTCGACAGACCTAACGGTTCCGCATCAAGAGTGTCACTGGCAGGTCACCAGCACTGGGAAGATTGACTTCCTAGAACTCTACGGTGGATCTCCCCGTATGAGTCACAAGGCTGCCCTGTCAGGTCTGCGAGTAGGTCAGCCAGTCGACTTGCGTAGTGGTCTAGATCTTGAGCAACCGCAAGGTCGCTCCAATCTTCTTAGGATCATCAAGGAACAAGAACCTACTATTATTGTTATGTCACCCGATCACTCTCAGTGGTCTAGCTGGTACTCACAGTGGAAGAAAGGCTCTGCCAAGAGACTTTCTGTTTTAAAATTCTGTGAATCGGTCGCAGACCACCAAATGAAGCTCGGACGTTACTTTGTTCTTGAGAACCCATACTACAGCAGGCTCTGGTCTTCACCAGAAGCAAAACGCCTGTTTTCCAACCGCAAGATCAGCTATGAGGTCTGTAACCTACAAGCCTATGGCATGAAAGATCCAAAAGGATACTATGAATCGAAATCCTCGATTTTCATGCACAACCTGCCACCGCAGGTTCTAACTCCTCTCCAGAGGCATTCTGCCAAAACGAAATCTCCAACATCTCCACCAGGAGACGAAAAGGGTATTCAAGGCTACGGTCTTAAAACGAAACTCGCACAAGTGTATCCTTATGAATTCTGTGAGACCTTTGCCTCGTGTTTGGCAAGATTCCTGAAGAGAGATACATATGCATCTCATCTTTCTTTAGTCACAGACATACTAGGATACTCTGGAGATGAATGCCTCCAGGGACTTTCGGAACTTCTTGACCAAGAGTATTCACTTTTGACAGCAAATCCTCTCAAGGATTCCAAACTCCTGCAAGATCCGAAAATCAGATCACTTGTTGCTAGAGTAAATTCCTTGCTTGCGAATTATATGTTGCCATACTAAGCCACCAGCGGCTCGAGCATCGGAGAGTGGAGTCGAAAGCTTCATGTTTTCATGGGAGACAAAGCGATTACCAGCATGTGGCGTTTTTGCTTGCCATTGGGCTTTTTTATTGCTTTCTGCGACAGTCAGTACTTTTTACCTTCTGGATGTAACTATAGCTTGTTTAGCCTTGATCACCTTCAAGGGAGGGTGCATGGACCGTGGCTCCCTCGGGGGGGCGTCATATGCAGCCGGATTCTGAATCCGAGACCAGTGCCGGTGGCTCTGTGGTGCACAGGGAAGATTTGCGGTTGTTAGAAGAGTCCCTTCAAGATCAGCTGGCTGCACTTCAGTTGCGTGTGACGACTGTGGAGAGCCTTCTGCGTCCTGACCACTTGAGCGAGGGTTTGCCAGCTGCTGCTAGTGTTTCGAGTGCTGGAACAGAGTTTGCGCCAAGCCTGGAGGATCTTGTGGCCGCTTATCCGGGAGTCGTCCCGTGTGTGTGGGGCCTTTTGCAAGCTTCAGATCGCCGGGCCCTGCTCGCAGCTTCTTGGTACTTGCATACAGGCGTTCGCCGCGAGTTGCTTAAGGCAGCTTTTTTGCACGGATGGCCTCAACCCTCGCCGACCCTAACCACAAGCCAACCAATGTTCCCAAGTGTGCGTCAGTGGATATACCTGTGGTTTCATTAGAGCAAACCGCCGGCCAATGCTCTGATAAACTTGTGTCTGTAGACGTTGCGGAAGGAAGGCCCAAAGCTTCGGAGCCTCTCTCGGCATCTTTCTTGGCGCATTTAGATTCGCTGCATTGCGAAACTTCCGATGCACGTGGACAACATGACGTAGTTCCCGCAAGTGTTCCAGTGGTTTGTGTGGCTAGGCGGTTTCGGAAGCGTGTGCTCCCAGATGATTCGTTGCCGATCATACAGGAGTCAGAACACACGTCGGAAGCTTCTTGGCAAGTCGTGCAAGGTTTTGGCTCAGCACCTATTGCCTTTTCAGGTGTTATGCCTTTGCAGGCTAAGGCTCCGCCCCCAGCTCCGCCTATGCATCCGGTGTGTCGTGTGTCGCATCAGGCCTCGCGGTCTATCAACATGTTCGCGATTCGGCCTCGGGCTTTTCCGGCTCATGTTGGCGATTTGCCGCTGCCACGGCCTGTGCATCCCTCTAGGGGTCATCCTGTTGGGTTTAGCCATGGGTCACATAGTGTGTTGCCTTTGCCCCGGCCCTCTTTCCAGCATAGGTCCTCTTACCCCGGTTTTCCCAGTTTAGAGGACTTTGAAAGTGCTAGCGCCTCCGTGCCGATTGCAGGTCCCGTTTTTCTGGAAACTCACAGGTCTCCCGCTGCAGGTGTGCACTTTGAGGTACCCGAAACTGGACTGAGGGTCCATGGTGTAAGCGGTTCGGAGGCTCTGGTTCCTGGTTTGTGTATGGTGTCGCAGGCTGCAATTCCGCAGTCGGTCAAGCGATCGCGTGTGACGACCAGGCAGTCTGACATTCATGCGGGCAATTGGGCACGCGTTTTTGTGTTGTGGGCTATGGTCGTGGAGTTACTGCATCCTTTTTCCGAGATCCTTCAACAGGCGAAATCATCTTTGAATTCTGAGCATATCCTTCGTGCTTTGCTTGCCAGGGTGTCTGACACCACGGCGTTGCGATACTTGAAGGTGGTCCAAAGTTTTCTTGAGACTTGTGTGGAGCTGGGAATAGATTTGCAGGCTATGTCAGCTGTGCAGGTCATTGATGCGGTTTGTGCACTGCAATCGGAACCGTCTTTGCAAATTCACTCAACCAATACTCTTAAGGCATTGCGATGGCTGACTAAGGTATTGCAGCTTGATTGGTGTGTGCATTCGCCTCTGTTGCAATTCTTCGATGGCCCCAAGGATCGTCAGCGGAAGGAGGCTTTGCCATTCCCGCTTCAGTTTGCCGCCTTTTTGGAGGGCGTATTGCGTAGCGCCTCTAACTCTTTAGCTACCCGAGCTTTCGCGGGGGGTGTGCTACTGCTCTTGATGTCATCTCTCCGCTTCAGTGATGCCTCGCACGTGGAGTGGCGGAGTCTGAGCATGGATGGCTTTGATTTGCGTGGTCTGAGCACTCGGACTAAGACTTCTTCTAATGGCATGCCTTTTGCAGCTACTGGGCTGGGGTTTTTGGGATGCCCGGATACCCCTATGCAGGCTTGGGTTCCGCATTACCTTTGGGTGCTTGGGGTTTTGTGGGATGAGATGTGCCGGCAGTTTGGGGAAATGTTTTGCCCGGACACGCTGTTCTTTCTTTGGGATGCAAAGGAGCCGGCGTTCATGCCCATGACGTATGCCCAGGCTCTGTATCGCTTGCGTAAGTTGCTGGATGTGTGTTTTCCAGGCGGCGCGTCCGCTAGCTATACTCTTCACTCGGCCAAAGCTACTATGCTGTCGTGGTGCGCTGAGGCCTTGATTGCCAAACATGTTGCACAGGTGCAAGGGCATCACTCTGGCGACGTCCAGCGTAAATATGCTCGGGACGATACTTTCCTGGCCTTGTTTGCACAGCGCACTGTGATGCGCAGGCTGTTGGCGGGCTGGTCTCCGTCGGTGCCGATCGCTCGGGGTGCCCAGCGACCCTTGCCGAACGCTCCATTGCAGCCAGTGGCTAGTTTGTCGGTGGCGGCTTCGCATCCTTATTTCGAGTATCATAATGCCGATGCTAGTTTGCTTGAGTCGTCCGTTACGATGAACCAAATTCCCTTGGCGGGACCGGTTTGTGGATCTGACGCTACACCTGTACCAGCAGAGTCTCTTGCAAAGGCTCCAGTTTCGAGGGATGCGACATCTGTCCAGCTCTCGGATCAGGCGGCCAACGGGGTCGTCGCGGATGCCATGCCTGTGGCGCGCGAGAACTCCGATTTTTCTTCATCTGAGGAAGAGGAAGTTGCTGAGCCGGAGCTCGGTGACGCGGACGAGGTTGCTTGGGTGCGATCTGGCAAGGGCGTTTATCACGCAGCTATTGGGCATGCCACGGGGTCTATGGGTGTGCGAGCAGCATGTGGCACCTTTTTGCTGGATCCAACAGTATCCGTGGAGCCGCCCCCAGCGGCTAGGTTGTGCCGTAAAGCTGCATGTGTGCGGTGTCGGTTAGTGTAGCTTTGCCGGGGTGGCCGGTCCCTGTTGGAGTGACTCGGGGCTTGCATTCTTGTGAGCAGGTTTTGCGCTTGTTGAGTCTCACGTCACCAACTGGGTGTTGGAGCTCACAGGTTTTTGGCTGCTTCATGATTCGCATTTGCGCAGTCTTCCTGACTGATTGGGCAGCTCCTTGGTGGTGCTGCGTGTCAGCTTGCGCGGCTGGGCAAAGCCGTTTTCCTCAGGACGCGGTGTGGGTACACTTGTCATGTGCCCATGGCAGATACACCGTTCGTCGGTCGTAGCGCAGCACATGCGGCTGATTGCGTTCCGAGGGTGCGCTAAAAATCGCGTGTGCTTCTGAGATTTGCAAGGGTCTTTGGCAGTCCAGGTGCATGTGACATGTCACTGGTTATGTTGCAGGTTTTTGAACGTTTGTGCATGAGTGTATTGTGCAGTTTTGGGTCGCTTATCTGTGGCTCGATCATGTCTAGGTCCATGGGGCATCGATTGTAGGTGGCACCATGCGCTTTGTGGTCATATTACGAGTGCGACTTGAAACATGTTTTCCTTGTTTTTGGAATGCAAATCAGTTCTATTGCTACCTTGGGACGATGTTGTGATCATCTGTCCTTACCACTACTGTAGAATTTATTTGCTAGAGCTGTCATCATCATGGAGGATCCGACTTTCCCGGTGGATGGTGCAGGTATGCCTGATTCTTGGGCAATACCAGCGTCGGTTGGCCTTGAGGGCTCTGATCCGCTTGGTGCCGCGTTGACAACCGGGCCGTCTGTATCGCCAGGACTTGTAGCCAGCAGTGGCGCTAGCATGCAACAGTTGCTAAGCAAGCATCAGATCCCGGCGGCTCTTCACGAGACCCTTTTGGAGTTTTCTTCTGCTGAGTTCGGCCTTGTTGCAACATCGTTGGAGGATTTGAATGGGTTCATGACCACTTCACTTGAAATCCCAACCACTCCTTCGCCAGCGCTGACGACAGCTAGGCTTCGCATGTTGTGGAAGGAGTGTAATGCTCTGGCTTTGGCGCCTGCGGTAGTGCCGCAGCCGACCCAGGTTGTGAGTGAGGGTGGTTCGGACTCGGGTTGGACCGAGGTTTTCCCTAAGAAGGTTTCTTCCGCCAGGGTTTTCGAGATGGTGCGTCAGTTTAAGAGTCGTTATCCTTCTGAAACCTTGTCTTCGGATACGATGCCCAGTGCTCGACTCTTAGCTCTGGTTTCGAAGCAGATCCAGGATCATGAGTGGAAGTACATTCCTTGGAAGCTTCGGATGTCTCAGGAGCTTGCTGATCAGGCGTCCATGACCCGCCCTCATAAGCAGCCTCGTCTTGAGTCCCTCTTGTACGACGAGGTGCCGAGCCGTGAGCTCCCTTCGCAAGGAATGGGCAAGGCGTTGATGTCGGAGCTTCTTCAGCTTCAGGCATTTGCGATCGCGTTGTGTGGCGGTGCACACCTCCATACCTTGAAGGAGTTTAATCGGCGTTTCTTGCGACGGTGTTTCGAAAAGTACCCAGCAGAGTCAAACTTGCGACCACCTTCGGTGGCTGAGGCGCAATATGCTGAGCAGCACTTGTGGTCACAAATCGCTACCTTGTACAATGAGGAGCGCTGGACTTTGGATGCGGCAATTCATGAAGTGGTGGTGTTGCGAAATGAGCTGCATTCTCAGCTCATGCCTCGCCCTATGATGCCCAAGTTGTCAGTGTTTGCTCAACCGGGGCGGGGCAAGGGCAAAGGCACAAAAGGCAAAGGCGAAGGTAAAGGGGGCAAGGCAGGTAAGGAGGGCAAAGGTGCCAGATTGCCAACGCCATCCATGACGGTGCAGGGCTTGCGTGTCGGCTTGTATTACATGGCAGGCCAGCAGCGTCGCAACTTGTGCAAGGATTTCCAGTTGGGTAAGTGCACACGTGGTAAGAACTGCAGGTTCGCGCATGTGTGTGGGGTTATGGATGCCAATGATCGTTTGTGCCTGGGTGACCATGACCCTTCACAGCATAAGAAAACGCCGCATTAGGGATGCGGGGCTTCGGACTTTGTGGGCTCCTTGGGGTTGGAGGCGACCTCGTCATCCCCCTCATCTGGGATAACAGTTACGGTGCCCACTTTTTCGGCGAGTAAGTCCCCTATGGCCCGGGAGGAGTGTTCTTTGGATTCGGATTCGGATGTAGTCATGATCGGTTCGGAATCTTCTGGGGTGATTCCAACTTCGCAAGCTTTGGATCCGCAGGTGCTTTTGCAGTCTGCTGACATGCAGCGTGTGGATGGCACCGAGGGTTTGGAGCCCTTGTGTTGCGCGACTCTCAGGCTGCTTCAGCAAGCTTGTTTTCCACCTTCGACGTCGGCTAGGGGTGCATGTTTGCAGGATAGTGCTGTATCTTCTGGCTACTGGAATTTTGGCGTGTGTATCTCGGACAAGAGTGCGCTTACTGCTGTGACGCGGTCGATGCGGTCGTTCCTCTTGGAACTCAATAGATTATTGGTGCGTGTATGGCCTTCTGGACAGTGGAACACTGTCTGCATCAGTAAAAATTGTTTTTCGCAGCCCCATAGGGATTTAGCAAATTTGCCAGGGTCCCTGAATTATGTTTTGGGTTTAGGCCCTTTCACTGGTGGCCAGTTATGGCTTCAGGACGCTGACGGCAAGGATTTTCGTTTTGCGCCGGAGGTCGGTAAGCAGCTGCCGGGCAGGCTATTGCCCATCAATTGCAGTCCATTGTCATTTGATGGTTCGTTGTGGCATGGATCAACAGACTGGGTTGGCGAGCGCTGGGTAGTGATCGCTTACTCTCTTCCGGAGGTTCCCGAGGGTGCTCTTGAGGGCTTAGGTTTCCCGCAGGGGGATTCGGTTGCTGTCACACCAGCACAGGCGGACTCGTCGCTTCCAAGCCTTGCAGATGCCATTCCATCGGTTTTGCCAGATGCGACGATTTTCTTTTTGGACATCTGTTCTGGAAGGAATGCTCCCTTGTGTGCGGCCGCTCGCCGGCTGGGGATCCCTTCGATTCGCATTGATCTGCTGTTGTGTGCCGAACATGACTTGCTAGATTTGGCCTTTTACGAGAGGTTGTTGCGCTTGTGTTTTTCTGGCCGCATCCGCATGGCTCATGGAAGTCCTCCATGCTGTGAGTACAGTCGCTTAAAGTTGCGGCCGGGGGGACCGCCACCTTGTCGTAGCCCCGAATTTCTGCAGGGGTTACCGGGCAATGATGAGGCTGCGCAGCTCCGGGTTCAGCAAAGTGCCACCATCTTGACTCGTGTGGTCATGTTGCTTTTGGCAACATATCAGGCCGGAGGGCACGTGTCGTTGGAGCAGCCTAGAAACTGCATGTCTTGGGAGGAACCGGTTGTGCAGGGCTATCTGTTGGAAGTCTCCGCAGATGTAGTTGTGGTTGCGGGTTGTGAATATGGCATGGATCTTGAGAAGCACTGGGTCTTTGCATCGTCCTGGCGACCATTGCAGTCCTTGGCATCTGTATGCAAGCATCCACGTGGCACCCATGCCAGTTATGCCGGCGTTCTTGACTCGCAGTCGGGTGAGTTTGCTTCGCGGAAAACTGCTGAGTTTCCCGCTAAGTTGGCAACAGCTTATGCGGAGGCAATTTCACCGTTGTTTGCGGATCGGACAGAGCCTCCCACTTCGATAGCTGAGGCGGCGTTGGATGTTTCCTTTGCTCAGGCATTTTCTTCAATCCCTGTTCGGAAGTTGGACTCCTTTCCGCGTGCGGCACAAGACGGTGGTGGCATTTACTCAGTGCCGGACTGGGCGGCTCCTCCGTCGAACATTCCGGATGTTTTCCGCAGCCTGCGGGCTGACTTGCTGCAATTCTTTGCGCAGGATCGCACTCCTGTCCGCTTGCGCCAAAATGTGGCAAACAAGGATCACTCCCCTCTTTTTACGCCGGATCAGGTTGAGGCCTTGCGGGCGATTTGGGTTAAATGGTTTAGGTCCCAAGGGTTTACACAGGATATTTCTTGGGATGTTGCAACCAATCAGCCATACAGTCTTGAGGCCTTGCATTTGCTTGCTCAGGCCCTGAAAGACCGCGATGTTCACTTGTGGGATGCTTTGAAAGAGGGGGTTCCGATCGGTGTCGATGGCGATATCAAGCCGAGTAATTGCTTCATTCCACTCGGGGTGTCGCATCAAGATGTTTCAGACGAGGATTTTAAAATTTGTTCGGGGCACTGGCCTGGTGCCGAGGAGGATCCGGAATTGCTTGAGGAATTGATGGAGGCCGAGCTGGCTGCGGGATATGTTGAGGAATTGCCTTCGCTTGAGGCGGCTCGTGCGAGATGGGCCCGTGTGGCCATCGGCAAAGCTAACATTATAAAGTCTGAGGGCAAATCTCCCCGGTTGATCATTGACCCTTCTGTCTCTGGGACGAACGGAGCTTGCGTTATCCCGGAGCGTTTCTTGCTTCCAGGTTTGGGGGACGTGCAGCATGGGTACCCTGTCAGGGGTTGTGCTGATGAGGTTTCAGCGGTATCGCTGGATATTTCTGCGGCTCATAAAACATCCAGACTTAAAGAAAAGGACCGTGGTTTAATGGGAATAAAGGTTGGCAACCGTTACTTCTTTTACCGCGTCGCGCCGTTTGGCGCATCTTGTTCTGCTCACTGGTGGCAGCGCCTTGCTGGGTTTTGGGTACGTGTGGCACATCGCATAGTGTACGTGAGCCACTTGCTGGTCATGTACGTGGACGATGCTATGCTTTGGCAAGCGGCAGGGGCCATTGACATGTCGGCAGTCTTGCTGTTGTCTTTCTGCCAGGTTTTCGGGTATCCGATATCATGGCGCAAATTGCAGTTAGGACCAACCATTGTTTATATCGGTTGGCAGATTCATTTTCGTGCTGGGGCATTTTGCTTGCCGTTGGAGAAGATCGCTAAACTTTTGAAGGCGATTGACAAGGTTCTGCTCCCGCCCCACTTTGATCGCCGTGACTTGGAGTCTTTGATTGGCCTTCTCCATTGGGTCTTGCAGATGGCGCCTGAGCTTCGCCCATGGCTCTGCTCCTTGTATCAGGATAAGGCACGGCCACTGGGCACGAATTTTTCCTTGACTCAAACCGTTTGGCAACAGCTTCCCACTTACCTTGATAAGGATTTGTGTTTTGCGTCGACCCCTCCGGGTACAGCCATCCGTTGTGGCAGCAAGTTGTTGAGTGTCCGGCACGTGGATATACATTCAATCGATGATCTTAGGTTGGTGCGCAATACTGGCAAGCGCTTGTGGGCGCGAATTGCGGACCCGACTACAGGCAAGAGGAAGCTTTCGCAGTTGAGCCGGCAATTTTTGCACGAGTGGAAGTGTTTTTGCTTGCGACCGCCTATGATGCGCTCATTGCAGCCGCCTACGTTTGTGCCCGCTGTGGAGATGGCAGCAGACGCGTGTGCCAGCGGGGTTTCCATAGGCATAGGTGGTTGGGTGAAGTTCCCGGGACAGGATTGTTTGTGGTTTTCGGAAAGACTTACAGTGCAGGATTTCCTTGATCGCAGTGTGCCGGTGGACTCGGATGCTAATCTTGACATTGTCTCGTATGAGACCTTGGCTCAGGTGGGGCTTGTGCGTCTGTTTGCATCGGCATGTGTTGGGGGCCGTATGCGTTTGCAGCTTCCCGCGTTTACAGACAATTCAGGCACTGAGGCAGCTTGCAATAAGATGTTCACGACGGTCCAACCCTTGGCACATTTTGTCCAACGCTTGGCTACAGTCGCATGGCAGTCTGCCATCACGCTTGACGCGACACATGTGAGTGGTTGTCACAATGATGATGCAGATATGCTTAGCAGGTGGGATGGTTGCTCCGAGCTACCAGATCGCTTTCAGCTTAGTTACCGTGTGGACTGTTCCATGCCACTCTTGTGGGATGGCGCGAAGGATGTGCGAATTTTCCCGGATGGTGCCTTTTTGTTGTGGCAGCCGCCGCTGCGGGCGCAATCTTGAAACTGGTGCTGCGGGGTTGTGCGGCTGGTTGGACCCCATCGGTGCGCGGTCGGCTTTGCCTTCCCCCGGTGGTGCGCGTGCCTTCCATTTTCCGCCGCATGATGTCCTGCGAAAGTCCCTGCACACGATGGCATGGTTGGCGGCGCTAGTGCCGCCCGGCGTCTGGCTTGTGCTCTGAGCTTTGCAGGCATAGATGAGTGGCGTTTCCGCCACGGGTGCCAAAACGTGTAGCCTGGCTCACTTGTGGGTCTTGGGTAGTGAATGCGATCCAGTCTTCCTCTTTTGGCAGTTGTGGTTGGGCCTTGCTTCTGTACACACATCTTTCTGATGCATCGTTGTTCTATGCATGACGACAAGCTGTGTGTTCTACCGCCAAAAGGGGAAGACTGATCCGAGTGTGATGCGAGGGTCTGCTCTGTAGACTGGTCCGAGTATGATGCGTGGGTCCACTATGTAATGCACTGTATACTGTATACTTTGCTGTTGCTCCGTTAGGCTTCTCCTGGGAATGCTTGTTGTTCTGTGATCACGCTTTGCGATAGGAGAGTTTGCCAAGTGCGACTTGCAAACCAAAACCTTTTGACCGCGGTGGCTTAGTACGAAATCCTTAGAACGTTTTTTGTGCTAGCTCAAACATGTTTTAAGATTTCGCTCTAGCTTCCGCTTGATGCTTGCGAATTATATGTTGCCATACTAAGCCACCAGCGGCTCGAACATCGGAGAGTGGAGTCGAAAGCTCCCTCCCTCCCGCCCGAGCTTTCGTTCCGGGGATTTGTTTTCCTTTTGGTTCATATTCTTACACTTCTTGCGGTTTCTGGCGTTGCACGGTGTCCCTGGATGAGCTCGTAGCTGAGTCAACGATTATCACTTGAGGTGCGTGTGCGCTTGGTCCCTGTTGTGTACAGGACTGCGGGCCTTGCTTCTGTACACACATCTTTCTGATGCATCGTTGTTCTATGCATGACGACAAGCTGTGTGTTCTACCGCCAAAAGGGGAAGACTGATCCGAGTGTGATGCGAGGGTCTGCTCTGTAGACTGGTCCGAGTATGATGCGTGGGTCCACTATGTAATGCACTGTATACTGTATACTTTGCTGTTGCTCCGTTAGGCTTCTCCTGGGAATGCTTGTTGTTCTGTGATCACGCTTTGCGATAGGAGAGTTTGCCAAGTGCGACTTGCAAACCAAAACCTTTTGACCGCGGTGGCTTAGTACGAAATCCTTAGAACCTGCAAGATCCGAAAATCAGATCACTTGTTGCTAGAGTAAATTCCTTATCGAGTAAAACTGAATTACCATTGCATCATTCCAAACCATCACCGTCCCTTGATGCCTTGGTGTCAGACATTACTCGCCTTAGATCAAGACTCTTACCAGGGTCTGGTTTCGAACAGTGTACTCTATACAGAGGTACATTTGGAACAGTCAAAGCACTCACCAGTCTTGCTGGTGCTCAGCAAAGAGCCAAAGAGCCAACAGCAGTCAACAGGGTTCGTGCGCGCAGGTGCTTACGATGGCTTTTCTTGAATGAAAAATCGCAGTGCTGCGACAAACAGGAAAACCGTACACAGTTCGCTCTGCGTTCCCAAACCACAGTGTCCGAAATAGACAACAATTACTAATTACCCGTCTGGACAATGCCCGGACGTTTGATCCAGAAACGACACACTCGCAGGGTAATTACTGCACGGGGAAACATTTCTAAGCACACCGCTCGTGCCCTAAACCTGTAGAAGCCATACCGCAAAACTTACACACTCACACCTTATTCTTTGGACAAACCATGGTCGTGAAACATGTCCAACATCTTGAAAGAGACGTGCTCGCGGTGCACCGTACGCCGTACACAGTAACTGTTGTCTTGGAGCCCTGCGAAACGAGATCAGGGGAAGCATGGGGGAGGACTTATAGCTTGACTAATTAAGCTCGTCTACACGTCAATATGCTGCGAAGCTTCCATAGAGCCGCAAGATATTCCTGCGCGTGAACGTACAATATGTGTGGTTGAACCCCTGCGTCAGGAGTGAAGCGACGCACGTCTCTTCGTGCGCCAAGTAGGTTCGAGCAGGTCGTAGATCTGACATGTCGGGATCCCGCCAGCAAGCTCAGGACAAGAGTGCGGTGCATAATTTCAGGGGTTTTGCGTGCTGCACTGGTGCAGGGGAAGTGCCACGACGCCGCAAAAACCAGAGAGAAACGAGGTCTGCGACAGAGCATGAGAAGACAGTGCAAGAGGCAAGAGAAACAAGAGAGAGAGAGAGAGAGAGAGAGAAACTCTTCGACGGAGTTACTACTGCACCGGTACAAGAAAAGCGACAAGAAAGCGCCAAGTAAGCAATGAAAGCTTGGCGACGGAACACCGCTGGCTTACCACTTTGCTACTGCTGCAACAGATTGTCAGCTCGGGTCAAGACAACATGCCATCAGAGGGTATCAGCGGCAGCCTTCATTGGGAAAGAAATACTTCGCGCTTCGAAGGTTGTTAACATCTTGGGACATGTGACCAGATGCCGAGCGAAAGCTCATATCACGCAGGCACGGCGGTTTATGTGTTGCGGGCAGCGTGCCGGCGGTTATCAGCGTGACGCCTCATAATGTGCAGTTGCAATTATTCGGAGCCATTATAGTTCCTGCGGAGCTAGCAACGCATGCTTTGGCAGCTTGCCACAGATAGAAGAGCCGTGTTTAAAGACCACCTGTGAGAAAGGATGAAGCGATGTTTCCTGACTCAAAGACTCAAGATGCTGCCGATTCTGAAACATAGTGGCCACGCCCCAACCACGAAGCACCAATACCTAAGCCTTAAGCAGTTCGCGCTGCAGTGGGTACGATCTCTGATTCTTTGCAGATTTAACGGCCACTCAGGGTCTTGAGTCTAGAGCATCCGCAACAACCGCACAATGCAACCCTACAGGACAATATTCATGTGACCGCCTCTTAACTGGGACATTCCGCCGACCGCGAAGTCGGCTACCTTCCAATGCTATGCTTTGGTGACGGCGCAGGCATGATGGCTTCCCCATGACGGCAGGGGCTTGATGGCTCAATCAAAACTGCGCAGGCCTGCAATCTTTTAGGGTTGGTTAGGTACTGCAAAGCTTCGGGGCTTCCTGGTCAGTGTGCAGGGGCGATTTAAGACTGCGGGGGCTCGGCCGCTCCCCAAGAACAGGATTTCAGGGCGCATGATATACTGCAGGAGCTTCGAGCGCCCCGGACCCCCACAGAGTGTAGAGCCGAAGACTGCAGGGGCTTGAAGGCCCCCAAAGGACTGCCTGGAGTTCAGCTTCCAGAAAGACTGCAGGGGCTTCGCGGATCCCGAAAAGCGGGACTATGATTTTCAGGGACTAGAAAGGCTTCTCGCATGATTGATTGTTTGGTTTTGCCAGTGGAGTGGAAAGAATACGGAACATGAAATCCTAACCCAAGCCCTAAGCCCCTACGATAGATCAAATCGGGCTAAGCGGCACAAGTGAAAGTCTGGGGGAGAAAAACCTGCTCCGCAAATCCTCGGTCTGATGGCTTGGGGGGGTGGCTTGCAGGGGTATCCTCATCAGTCGTGGACGCCCACGCCTGTTGAGGGGTGGGGGTTCGGGAAGAGGCAGTGCCTGCTCAGAACACCCGTGCCTGCGAACCCCCCGCTCTCATCAAGCACTCGTTATGGATTTACCCCCTGCCCTCAGCAGTCGTGGACGCCCACGTTTGCTGAGAGTGTGGGGGCAATAAGCGCCGCCGCTCTCAGCAGGGATGCTTCATTTCCTTCCCATCCGCTTGCAGAGCCAAAGAGCCAAACGCGCAGCAAGCTTTTTTTTAGTCTCTGGGACTCTATAAGGAGCTGAAGCTGCAGTTTGTCGGGGGCCCTGAAGCCCCTGGAGTCTTGGAAGAGCGCCTTTAAGCATCCTGGTCCCCCTACATTGTTGTTTGAGGGTGCCCAGAAGCTCCTGCCTTAGTTGAAAAAAGCCCTCAAGCCCTGTAATCCTGGGGAGCCGTCTTGAAACACCCTTGAACATCCTTGCAAGATGTCCAGGAAACCCAAAGTTTTGCAGTCTCCAGCGAACCCTCCGACCGGCGCAAGTCTTTATAGTAAGCCATCATGACGCAAGCCCCTTCTCTCATTGGGAGGCTATCATGCCTGCGCCGTGGCTAAAGCATAGCAGTGAAAGTGGCCGACTTTTGTTTGTAAAACCATAAGTCGGGCAGAATGTCCAAGTTGAAGGGCAGTCACACGCACGTTGTCCATTGGGTTTGCAAACTGATGTGTTTTTGTGGACGCTCCAAACCCTGAGCCGCCCAATACCCTGTAAGGAATCAGACATCGTATCCGCCGGAGCGCCAGCCGAAGACGAACCTCTTGAGGCCTAGGTGCTGGTGCATCATGGTTGGGCATGACGATTAGTTTATGTTTCAGAATCGGCAGCATTTTGCGTTAGGAAACATCACATCATCCATTCTCAGGTGAGCAGCGGACTTCCGGCCTTCCGAAAGGTGGGCAATTTTCATCTATTGAATTGGCGACTTAACGCGACAAAACACCAGAGGCAAATTGCTTGATAAAGTGCTGAAGCTAGAGTTTTGGGGCCACGCAGGTGGTCATTAAACTCGGCTCGTCTTACTGTGGCAAGCTGCCAAAGCATGCGCTGTTAGCTCTGCAGAAACTAATGGCTCCGAATAGTTGCAAGTTGCAGCTGCACATTATGAGGCATCACGCTGATGACCACCGGTGCGCTGCCCGCAACACACATAAACCGCCGTGCCTGCTTGATAGGAGATTCGCTCGACATCTGGGCACATTTCCCAGATGTTAACAACATTCGAAGTGCAAAGTATTTCTTTCCCAATGAAGGCTGCCGCTGATACCCTCTGATGGCATGTTGTCTTGACCCGAGCTGACAATCTGTTGCAGCAGTAGCAAAGTGGTAAGCCAGCGGTGTTCCGTCGCCAAGCTTTCATTGCTTACTTGGCGCTTTCTTGTCGCTTTTCTTGTACCGGTGCAGTAGTAACTCC